AGTCAGTTTTGTGAAAAATGATACCCTATTCTAGACCCAAACGCTCTGATTTATATACCCTATCCTAGAGTAAACTGCTTGAAAACATACCCTTCACAGCGGCACATACCTATATAGCCCATATATGGCAGTGCCCTCCCGGGGTCAACGAGCGAGAGCGGACAATTTGACAAATTGACGTCAGTCGTTAATGCTTCTGAATTTCGTCATAACATCGTCAAAGTAGTCTGCGGATCCACTCAGGTATCGCCTCGGCCTCGTGGATCCGCAGCCACTTTGACAATGTTATGACGAAATTCATGATCTATAACAAAACAGACGCATGAAAAACTGACGTCAATTTACCCAGAAGGCAACGCATGGCGCCATCTTTTTATTTTTTATTTTTTTATTTTTATTTTTTTGTATTTTATTGGCCATCTTTTTAGTACTCGAGTATTCGCGCCATGTTCGAAAATACCCAGAGATCCGTGGGCGCGTGTCATTAACCATCATGCACAGGGGGATTCTGGCTGGCTCTTGAACTTTGGAGCAGGTTACCGGTTGGGTAAGAGATGTAACATTCGCCATGGCTGCGATAAAGAAAAAGGTCTGTTTGATTGTCATTGATGGCTGGGGCATCTCTGAAAACAAAGAAGGTAATTTAATTTTTTCCCCAACAAAGCAATGTTTGTTTATCGTTGGCGTTCACTGTAGTACCTCTGGGCAGTTAGTGTGATTATATTTCTGCATACATGTGTTTAAAAATGTCTTCATTTGCAGCGATTTTGTTGTTGTTCTGTTGTTACTTTAATGACTAAAATGTTTTACAAGGAAATTATTGCTGTCCTTTATGACTTCTATGACTTATAAGCTTGTAAACAGAGGAAAATCTCATTTTTGTTGGATCGATCGAACTGTCACGGTCTTCAAATATCGAAGTCTTACATCTATTTGTGATTTCAACACCAAGCACTGAGTTGTCAGAGGACATGCGCAAATTTGAATTTTTAGCTTTTTTTTTACTACTTATGCGATTTTTAAGGTAACTGAGATTATTTTGTGCAAAGTAGTTTATGCTACATGTACCTTGAGTAAGTGTCATGTGGCGTTGCGTGACCATCTTGTTACGATTTCACGAACCAAGGGAAGTTGTGGATTAGTCTTTGCTTGAGCTTAAAAAGCATGTCAGCACCTCGTACATTGCGATAATACATAAGAATGACTCATGTTGGCTTTTCCTGCTGTTAATACAGGTACTGATTTAGTTTCAAAAAAGGTAAAAAAAAGTTATATTTAGGACAGAGAAAGTAAGGATGCAGTGGCCTCATCGTTAGGGCACTTCTCCCGGATTGAGTGGTCCAAGTTTGTGCCCTGGCGGGGGACATTGCGTTGTGCTCCTGGGCAAGACACTTTACTCTCACACTGCTTCTCTCCACCCAGGTGTATAATGGGTACCGGCGAACATAATGCTGGGGGTAACCCTGCAATGGACTAGCATCCCACCCAGGGGGGAGTAGAAATACTCCTAGTCACTTCATGCTACAGAAACTGGGATATGCTCCAGCCTGATGGGCCACTTGGATCTCACTCCTATAGGATTAAGAAAAATACTTCCATTTATCAATGTCGTATTGCTACAGGTAATGCCATTGCCAATGCCACAGTTCCAGTCATGGATGCCTTCTGTGCCGGAGAGAAGAATGCTTACACCACTCTGGATGCTTCTGGCTTGTCAGTTGGGTTACCCGCTGGACTTATGGGTAATAGTGAAGTAGGACATCTGAACATTGGAGCTGGAAGAGTTCTTTACCAGGTAACTCTTTTTCTAGAATATGTCTGTAAAAAATTGTTCTGCACTTGTGGACCCAAGTGGTTCACATTGCCAGAGCCCGTCCTGTTGTCCATTATGTCTTAAAGCAAGCAAAAATATTGTTTAACTCCTCTGAATGGGTGCTCATCCATTGCAAGCTGCATGCACATGTCAACAGCATTCACTCAGTCACACCTGGTGCGAGCAGTTGCTTCAACGCCACAAAAACTGTACAGTGGCATTGAATTTTTGCGTTTGACTGCTGGAGAAGTCTACGTGTACATGTTTCATCCATCCCCCTCCGCACATTGGTACATATTTTGACTCAATCTTTGGTATATAATAATTTGTCAGGACCCATTTATTTACATGCACTCCTTAGTAGTTAGAAATGCCTTGAGATGAGAACATATGTAATGTATAACTACAACGTTCACATGCATGTAATTTAATGATCACTGATAGTGCAACAGTACAGTTTAAGGGTCAGTTATGATAAGTGCATAAGATGATTCTACATGTAATTGTAAAATTTCAACTTATTTTTGGTCTTTTTGCCCAGGATATTGTAAGAATTAACATGACCTCAGAAAAGAAGCAGTTTGCAAAAAACAAAGTTTTAGCAGAAGCAGCAGAAAAAGCAAAAGCTGGTAATGGCAGGCTCCATTACCTGGGTTTGGTGAGTTAGACAGTGACGTTTGTTCATACTATAGTATATTCAAACTTAAAATTAGCAATAATAGATTGAATAATAGATTGAAATTAACTGCTGCATTGGTCCAGAGCAAATGATACAATAAACATTTTAGTAATTATTAACATTGTTTTCTCGGTTTAGATAATGTTTCCTTTGTTTTCCCTAAACAAAACAATCAGTTTGTATTTTACAATTAAGAAAAAAAAGAAGAATTTAAGAAATAAAAATAATGTTCCAGCTGTGACAATTATATAGACCCTTGGTGTTAATACTATTTATTGTTTTCCAGGTCAGTGATGGCGGGGTCCACTCACATATTAATCATTTAGAATCATTAATTGATGCAGCTAAAGAACTTGGTGTTCCAAAGTGTTTCATTCAGTTTTTCTCTGATGGACGAGATACAACACCCACAAGTGGAGGTGAAATATATCAGTCATCGATCTGTATTAGTTATAACCTGTAACTGAAATGCAGTTTTCTATGCACATTAACACATCATGTAACATGCCCCCAAAACTGTTTTTTTAATCCCTAGGGAAATGAAACTCCCTAGGGAAACAACAGCTTGAATGCTATCTGACTTGATCAGGACTTGCCTCTTGAAAACCTTGCAAAACAACTATGAAGCAGTTGAACTATGAAGAGGGTCATACAGGGGTATTCTCGTGATGCATGATTAGTTGATTTTATTTTCCGTGAAATGTAAATTTAGGAAATTATTCTTCGTGATCCGTGATGTGAAGGTTTTGCGTGACCCATGATATTTGTGATTTCATCATTCAATTCTACGTGATTTTGAGATGCGGATCCTGCAAATGGTTAGAGCTGTTTATCGACAGCTTGTGACATGCAATTTGCAATATGGAGCCTTGACTAAGCCTTTCAAGATTTTTCTTTCTTCAAACACTCTTTCTAGTGTAAGAACAGGTTATTAAAAAGAGTGATCCGTGATCCGTAATCCTCAATTTTTTCCATTTGTGAACCATGCCATAGACCCCCCCCCCCCCCCCCCCCCCCCCCCCCCCCCCCCCCCCCCCCAAAATGGC